CGTTTTGGGCGTTGTAGCAATGTTCCTCCACCTACAAACATAGATTAATTTTTTTATTTTTGGCACCCTAATTCTTTTGGGTCCATAAGTATAGTTCCTAATAATATAATACACTTAAGAATCCATTTCTCTAGGATATCCTTGTCCTTGGTAGCAATGAGACATTTGGTATGCTCTTAACAATTTTTCCATTTGAGGTTCTTTGGGGACCTCTGTGTTTGTATTGTCCAAAGCTATTTTTAATATAGTTGGATTTTGAAGTTTAACCTTTATGAAATCGTGTCGATCTAACTTTGTTAAAAGAATCTTTAAGATCATCAAGCTCCTTTTGATGATCATCATAAACTTTAGAAAGTAAGTTATGCAAATCTTGGTTTTTCTTTTCAAACTCATCAAGTTTGACTTGTATATCTTACTTTCAAGTTCATCATTGGCCTTAGATAATATATCATTTGTATTTTTCATTTTTGAAATGTTTTTCTTATTCTTTGAAATCATGATATCAAATTCTAAGGCCAATTCATCATAGGTCTCTTGTATTTTATCAAAAGAATATTCATTAAAATTTAATGAACTAGAGGTTACCTTAGTTTCTCCCTCGATGTCCATAAGACACAAGTTGGCTACTTCTTCTTCTTCATCAGAGCATTCTTCTTCTTCTTCATTAGAGCATTCTTCATCGCTCCATATAGCTACATGTGCCTTTTGTGCCTTCTTGGTTGACCCCTTCTTCTTAAATTGAGGACACTCAAACTTGATATGTCCCAATTTCTTACACTCATAGAAAATGACTGGGCCTTTCTCCTTATATTCATTCTTGAAGCCCTCATTTCTTTAAAATCGTCTTCCTTTGTTGGACCTCATGAATCTTCTAAATCTTTTGGAAAATATTGTAATTTCTTCATCTTTATCTTCACTAGAATAACTCTCTTCCTTGGTTGACTTGAGAGCAATCCCAACTTTCTTCTTCTTCTCTTCTACTTCATTATTCTTTTGAAGTTTTACTTCGTGAGTGAGTAAAGATCCAATAGGTTCATCAAGGGTTTACAACTCCAAATCTTTGGCTTCTTTAATAGTGGTTGCTTTGCCTTCCCAAGATGAAGGTAATGATACAATCATCTTTCTTACTAATTTTATTTGGATAGACCTGCCCAAAGTTCTTTAAATCATTGCTGATGATGGTAAAATAATTCAACATTATTTTGATGTCATTATCGACCTTCATTTTGAAATAATTGAGAGTAAGAATTCATATTTTGGACTTTTTCACTTGAGTTGTACCCTCATGCATGACTTCAAGCTTATCTCAAATCTCTTTTGCATTTGAGCAAGAAGACACCCTACTATATGACTTGGGGCCAAGTTCCTTAAATATGATTTGCATGGCCTTTGCATTGAGTTGGACGAGTCTTCGATCTTCATCGGTCCATTATGACTTGACCTTCAAAACAATAAGCTCTCTTTACTTCTTGGAAGGAATTGAAGCTCCGTCGGTGATAACATCCCAAACTGAATAATCCATAGCTTGAATGAATATCATCATTCTATTATTCCAATAAGAGTAATTTGCACCATTAAAATATGGAGGCTTCGAAATAGATTGAGACTCACAAAAAATGTTGAAAGTAGATGGGGTGACCATTGTAGATGAATTGATTGATTTCTTCCAAGGATCTTCTCAAGTGGATGTTAAACCTTCCAATTAGCTCTGATTCCAATTGTTAACTCAATCGAACCAATGAAATAGCCAAGAGGGGGTGAATTGGCAAATAAAAATTTATGGAAGCTTTTTGTAAGAAAATGAAAAATTGGACACAAGCAATTTTAGAGTGGTTCAACTTCCTCAATGAAGTTTACATCCACTACCTTATCTTCCATACTAAGGATTTCAAAAAATTCACTAATTTGTTCAAATCTTTTAGGACAAGTGTAACCTTACAACCCACTTAGACTTATACCCCAAAGTCTCAAGTGTACACGTCTTCCTAAGAAGAAATTACAAATAGCAAACTTAGAAAACCTCACTAGGATGTGTTTGCACAATTCAAGAACAAATAAGAACACTCAACAAAAATGAAACAAATGAGTACAAAACAACAACAACAACAAAACCCTATTCCCATATGCAATGGGGTAAGGGAAACAAATGAGTACAAAAGTGTTCTTTAAAAGCAAAAATAATATTGAAGAATGTTGACTTGATTTTTGGCTCAATTTGATTGCTTTTGGTTTTCTTTATGATTTTTTGTCTTCACATATGACTTGAAATCTTGTTTTCATAACCCTTCATTCAATTCTAGCCGTTAGGATAAATTTTTCTCGCTATAAATGCTGCCCAGACGCCTTGACTACCAGTACTTGGGCTTGGAGTATCGATACTTTCTATATTAATTACAAAAAACTAACCGTTGAGAATAGGGGATTATCAATACTCCATATAGAGTATCAATACCCGTATCAATACTAACAGAGTATCAGTATGGAAGTAACCTATTGGAATCGTGTTTGCCAAAAACTTAATAGGAGTATCGGTACTTCAGTGTATTTTTACACACTAGTATCAGTATTGCAGTGTATTTTTACACATTGGTATCAATACCTGTATCGGTACCACTTGAACAGTACCATTATCGTTTTTACAGTATCGATACTACAATGTTAAAAATTGATTTTTGACTCGATTAAGATCCGAAACCATTTGTAAAAATGTTTGAAAAATATTTCCAGTATATGAATTGAATTTTTTAAAAGAGTAAGAAGTAATTATAAAGGTTTTAACTTTGAAAAAGTTTCTATATTCGAATGGTTGAATTGAATATAAGTTTAAAAACCGAATTAAGAATAACCTTAAAAAAAATTTAAACTTTTTTACGTTTGGTAGATCAAAATCTCAAAGAATGGTTCAACACACTACTTTCCACGTATTACACCAACATTGTCACTCTCTCCAAACATGCTCACAATGACATAAAAGACTAATAGACGATTCAGGCATATTATTACAAACTATGCATAGTAAAGTATCCACCTCTACTATTCATTGTTTCGACAATTCTACACGAGTTGGGATTTTGTGCAAAACAACCTTCCACGCAAAAGCAACTACTTTAAGAGGAACAAAATTAGCCCAAACCGATTTCCAAAAACTTCTAATTCAAACCTGCACCTTGAACTGACAAACAAAACGATTCTGGTGAATATATTCCGTCTAACAATGGGTACACAATACCTCTTCATAACCAGGATGGTTTTTCCTTGTTTACCGATTTTGGGATAATCAAATTTCCTTCCAGCTCGTACTTTGCAACTATCACTTTCTTCTATAGACTCCCCTCTTCTCTAGTGTATCTCTAAATCCACTTATTGAGCAGCAAATGGTTCTTTGTTTTAATGTCAAAAAAGTCCAAGCCCCCGCACATTCTTAGCTTGCACATGTTACTCCAACTTACCCAATGGATTGATCTTCCTCCCTTTGCATCCCATCTAAATTTTGCTATAAGGTTGTTGATCTTTTCTTCTACTTCAACAGGCATTGAGAATAAAGGTAAATAGAAAACCGAGAGGTTTGAAAGAACTAAACGAGCAAGAGTTATGCGCCCTCTCGACGACAAACAATTTCCTTTTCAACCATCTAAACGAGATTAGACTTTATCCACTATAGTCCTCCATAGCTCCTTGGAATTTCTGGTATGACCCAGTGGAAGCCCCAAGTATGTTGAAGGAAATATGTCCCAACTGTACCTATACCCCTGTCCATTCTTTAACTCGAGTAGACTCAATATTGATGCAAAAAATCTTGGTCTTTTTTATATTTAGTTTTAAACCTGTCGTAATCTCAAATAAATTGAGTATTCTTTTCACATTCCTCACCACCTCAAGATTGGCGTCCGAGAAAACTACCAAGTCATCGGAAAATTGAATGTGTGAAATAGGAAAACCAATGGACCACACTTGCACACCATTTATTATTCCTACAGCAGCAACTTTGTTTATCAGGCCACTTAGAGCTTCGCCCACCAGATTAAAGACAAGCGGGGATAGTGGGCAACCTTGTCGTAATCCCTTCTTGATTTTAAAACATTCGGTCTGCGCACCATTAACTAAGACCGTAATTGAGGGAGAAGAAATGCAAACATTGATCCATTTTCTCTATCTTTTACCGAACCCCATCTTTTTCATTACGAATGTCAAGAAAAACCAATCCATAGTATCATAAGCCTTGCTGAAATCCGCTTTGACTTCCTTCTTGCTTTTCTTCAGGCCATCTATCACTTCATTCGCTATTAATGAGCAGTCTGCAATCTGTGCTTACCAACTATAAAAATGAACTAACATTCCCTCATTACATCATTAATTACAGCTGCTAATCTTCTCGAAAGCACTTTAGCCAAAATCCTCAAAGCACTCTGCCCCTCATTTCTTCGGAATGAGAGCTATGAAGGACTTGTGAAAGTGATATCGTTTATATTTCCGTTGTGGAACTTCTCATAAAAATCCATTACCTCCGATTTCAAGTATTCCCAGAAGTTTTTAAAACTCGAGGTTAAACCCGTCAGGACTCGGGGCACGATTACCATTCGCGGATTTGATTGCTTGCCAAACTTCCAACTCCATAAAAGGGTACTCAATTCGCTTTCTTGACTCCGAATTCAACCTTCTAATTGGAATGCCAAGTCGAAGGATTTTCATTTTACATACCTATAGTTCATGTAGATGAAATATTTATATATGAGAAGTATATACACGTGTAAACGTTGATTCAATTTGTATAAATAGTCGGCAGCAAAACAAAGATTAAAGCGATGTAGAGAGAAACATCAGTTAATAGTTAAAATTATACGACTTGGTTGAAATCAAATTGAAAGTTCAGTAACTGAATTGACAAAATGTTTAATTCAGTGATCAAACTAGAACCAAGCCAATAAATTAGTGACTTTTTCGTAGTTTACCCTTTAGAAACACGGAACGCTGTAGTTTTGGATAAGTTCTTACACGCGCTTAAAACCCCTCCCAACTCACGAGAGATTGATAAAATTTCTAGGGCAAGCTCAAGACTGTTTGTGCTGATCTGAAACTCCGTCGCCCAAATTTCTCAAACAAAGCGAATCGATGGCGCCTCCTCCTGGACCTTACTCCGGCACCAGCACTCTCGCTCTTGTAATTTATTTTCTTTATTTTTTCTTTGTTTTTTGGTCAGATCAAATGCAGAAAAAATGAAAAACAAATAAATATATTCATACATGCTTATATAATGGATCCCAGTTGCCTTCTTTCCAAAAAAAAAACTTTAATCTCCTTTTTTTTAAATTGATTCATATTGCAATTATTACTGTAATAGGTGGCTCGTGCATCTGCTTTCTCTTTTGGACTCGTTTATGGCAGCATTAAGCTCAAGTACCTCAAGGTATTTTAATTTACTGCGTTATTTTCGATTTATTTTATTTTTCTTCAATTTCGTTTTTCTGTTTGTATGATTGTAATTTTTTTATATGGGAATGACTATCACGCTGCTACCAATTGGATTTATATTTTGATGGGAATTTTTAATTTTGATCTGTTTTTTTTTTCATGTGGTAAGAAAGGGTGTTGGTAGCTGCTGCTAAGAATCATTGTTATGACGGTCTTTGTTTTCATTTGTTTGATGTTTCAAGATTATTAGAACGACAATTTTGTATTTCATTTTTTGATCAAGATTATTAGACGCCCTATCTCAGTTTAGACCTGTCGATTTTGGAAATATATTGATAGGTATTGATTTGTGGTTTTACATGACCAAGCGGACCAAGCCCATCGATCAGTAAAGGGCATGAGATCATCTCAATGTGTAAAGGCTTGATCACATGTTTCATGATCTTTGGCTTCCTGTTTTTCTGAGATGTTTTGACAATACCATGGTGCCTTTGTTTTAGAGATGTGCTTACCTATCGATTTTACTTTTACCTGCAGGCTAAGGCAAGATCTCAAAGGAAAGCTGAAGCAAAGGCTCATCACTGAAGTAGGGGGATTCTGTTGGTAAAAGCTTGGTGTAGGAATAAAGCATATCAATGGTAATTTACCAGTTTTTCATTTCGGCTTATAAAGTTTTTATGGACCGTGACATTCTTATCTCCCAAGATTTTTTTAGCGGGTTATGAACATGACCCTTTAAGTATTGATTTTCTGGTCGATGATGGATGTTTGGTGATTTGATTAATGGGCAACATGTTGGATGATTTGTGCTTATTAGTTCAATGTAATAATGATGTCACTTTACTTGTTAACTTTTGAATTTTTTTGAAGTTGAATAAAAAATTATAAGAACTGATACTACTCGAACAAAATTCACATTTATATTCATTTACATTTTTCTTCCTCGTCCTTGTTCAAATTCATCTTGCATGCATATTCCCTTTCTCTTCTTTCTTTATTTCTTTCTCATTTTTCTTATGAATTTCTTGAAGTTGAACAAAAATCTGCAAGAGTGGTTCTGCCGAACGAAATTCACATTCAACTTCATTTAAATTTTTCTTCATCTTTCCTCAAATTCATCTTGCATTTTTCTTCTTTTTCTCTTGTTTTCTTCATTTTTTTGTTATTCTTCTTATTGTCCAATTGTGTAGTTTCAATTTTTGAGAACTGTCAATGGCTTGATAAATATCTCTACTTCTTCCTTCCCTTAAACGTTTGACCAATTAATGATTTCATGTACATTTTCTATTTTGGCAACGTACTTGAAAGAAACTTTCTTTCTTTTGTTCTTCTTCTACTTCTTGATCAATATTTCTGTATTTTCCTTGAGCATCTGACCAATTGTTGTGTACATCTACATTTGTTGTTAGATAATGGGCTAGAAAGAAGCTTTCTCTAACTTTCTTCTTCTTCTTCTTCTTCTTCTACTACATCTTTAAACTGTTGTATGAAAAAATTTAAGCAGTAGCAGTGAAATCGAAGATTGATATCAATTAGAACACATACAAACAAAGGTGCAATTTCAAATGATGATATCTCAAATACGAAAATGTAGTATTGAAACCAAGCTGACAGTCAAATTGGAAAAACCAAGTGGCAATAAACTTTCCCCCCCAAATGTTTTCTAAAATTACCATCAACACAATCGAAAGACTGGTCCTGAATTATTGGACTAATTTGTAAAATAGGAGAGTTGGCTCCAAATTTTTATTGAAATTCAAACTAAACTTGAATGATTGAATTGAACAAGTGTTTAAAGTTGGACGATTATGTAAAATTTTGTTTTCAGATACATTGAGAATATATACTTTCTAGTCTACGGAGTTAAAAAAAGTGCATTGCTTTATAAATATTTTTTTTTTAAATTATGTATTGTTGACGATAAAGGGATAAATTGACAAAAAATATAAATGTCGAGGATTAATTTGTTTGCCTTTTTTTTTTATATTCTCCACATCAATAATTAACATCAAAATGGATGAAATTTTTAATGGAGGGACAATTTTGGTCATTTCAAAATCTACAAGAACTAATTTATCTATTTTTCAGTATAGAGATAATTCTTTATCTTTTATAATAAGACGTTCCTTTATTAAATTATAATAACTATTGTTATGATATTGTTTCTTTAATTTTATACATGTGTTAGATGAAAATGTCATTTACAATTTTACCCGTAACCATTCCTTGAATAAAATTGGCTAAATACTCAAATAAGGACATAACCTTTTAGGTGCTACTTATATAAGCGTTTAACCTTTTAATATGGTCGAATAAGGGTCTAACGAATTTAGATATGTTTAAATGAGGGCATAACTTTTCAAAAGGTCAAATAAGAGCTTAACATTTTGAGTTCGCTTAGATAAGTATCTAACATTTTCTAATCAGCTCAAACGAGGGTCCTGAATTAAAATTTTAAAATGATAGGCTTTTATTTGGGTAATTTTAAAAATGTTAAGCTCTTATTTGATCCCTTTGAAGTGTTAATCCCTTATTTGAATAGATAAAAAAATTCTTATTAAATTATTTTGAAAGTTGTTTTGAGTAAACCCTAAAAGGCAAAATCCTTATTGAAGCATCTAGCAATTAAAATTTGAAGAATACATTTTTATTATAACTTATTCTATTTCATCTATATTCGTTGGTGTGGTATGGTAACGCAATATACAATTAAATTTTTTACACAAATTTAAAACTATTAGATGAGTAGACCTCTTTTTTGTTCCATTTTAAGTTGTAGGCCAGGCCAGAGTTATCAACTGAGGAGAATGCTTGTGGTGAAGTAGGAGCCTGACCCCCCATTGTCCACTAAAGTTCAAGCTGAAGATCAAAGGGTCCTCTGTTATAGCAGCCTCGGGCTCTCAGCCATGTCGGTCCATTCTTTAAGCATCTGAATCCGCATCAAAATCTCGTTTTTCATTGCTTCTGTCTACGTCAAATACTCCAATCTTTTGATGGCCTTTGGTTGGTCTTCTTTCAAGACTTTAGGGTACATCGTTTCTCCACAAACAGACCATAGTATGATTTCAGCCCTTTATCTGATAGAAGATCATAGAGACAAGACCTTGGGAGGCCTCTTAAGCATTATCTTAATGAAACCCAGCCGGCCACTCATTCCCATGTTTTCCATTTTTTTTTGTTTATCATTCTTCTAAATATAGCATCATATTTTGATCACAAATGAAGAGCCAACTCAAACCTTCACGTTACAATCCTTCAAAAGCCTCCCAACAGAACAAATACTTTGAAATCTTGTGATTCGTTCAGCGGAAAAGATATGGCAATTCGCCTGACTGGTGTTGTTGCTGCTAAGCATATTTTCACCTTTTTTATGGAAGAAGAAGATCTTAAAGAACTTGGAAAGCAAAGGTGAGCAAGTATAGTAATTGTGAATGTGAAGATAAATGTTGCCAAATGAACTTATACTTGTATATATAGATGTGAGGGTTACAAGGGAATTTTTTTTTTGAAGTACATCAAGTAGGGGATGTTGAATGAGTGAGGAAGGGGCAATTAATTGCTGGGGTCTGATGAGTAATGAAAGAAGCATGGGTTAATGTGGGAGAATGGACGGTCACATGGTCTTGTCTTTGGAGCCATAGAAAGCTTATTTTCTCACTACTTCACCATGTGTGTTTGGCATGCTTGAGACATAAAAGCTGTCATTCAATGATAAGAAACATATAGCATGGCAGAATTCAAGAATTCGCTTATTTGATATTTGCTGAAACATTTAGCCAGAGACATGTAACATGAACATTTAGAGGAAGAGATTTGGCAATTCATCTGCCTTGTGTTGTTTCTGTTAAGCATATTCAATCAATATCTTTAGATGTACCGAAAGGTTTCACTGCAGTTTATGTTGGAGAATCCTAAAAGAAGAGATGCGTTGTTCCTGTATCATTTTTTAAGCAACCTTTGTTCCAAGATTTGCTAAGCATAGCGGAAGAAGAATTTGGTTTTAATCATCCACTGGCTGCTTTGACAATTCCCTGTCATGGAAATATGTTCATTCATGTTACTTCTCAGGAAATTGGTTTTAATCAAGGATGCTTTTTCCCTCTTTAGCAATTAGCCTTAATTTACAACTGTTTTTTTCAACCAAGACACAGGAAAGCCTAATCAAAGGGTTAATACATGTTCATCACAGATCACACTGTCCCTTTTCCTTCAGTTGTTTGGTTAGTATACATCTGCATCTACTATCCAACTGTCCCCTTCCGAACTTTTTTCGTGGATTAATCATTCATGAATAAGTAATCCAGAAAGGTTGAACATTTAGCCTTTAATTTGCTTTTGCTTTCCAAATAGATGTAACATAGAACTGATCAAACCAAAAATATCAATGAAAATAATATGGTACATTATATCATTGACCTATAATGCGCAAATTAGATATACAAAACCAGTCGAAGAAAAAGTATCAATGACAAGATACTTTATTAAAAAGATTATTTTTCCATCCAATTTGTAGAGTGATCACAAAAAATAATTGAGTTCACAAAGTGTATGAGATTGCATAAACAATCCACCAATTACACTTGCTTCCTAAGCAAAACAAACTTGTATTTGTCTGTTAAGGAGAGTTAGTGTGAGCTGATTGGTTAGCCATTATAGAATCTAACTTTATGACCTTTGGAAGCTGCAGATGTGATCAAGGAAGGCTTCTTCACTGCAGGGGATTGTTAGAGCACCCGTAGGATGATTAAATCCATATTCTTCTTCAGCTTCGCTCAGCAACTCTTGGAATGAATGATGGTTCAGAAGTGAAATCGGGGCAACGAATATCTTCTTTTCATCAGCTTCTCCGACATAAACAACAAAGTGGCCTTTGGGCTCCGCTGTCGTCTCCGAAAACGAAAGACTCTGTTTTAAACTCTTAGCTTTAACAATTCTTGGCAAGCGAAAACCCATGATTTTGTGATGAATATGGATTCTTTTTTGCCCATGGTAGATAGAAGAAATGAAACTGGTTATGTTGGGAAGGCTTTTGCAGTGGGGGGATGTTAGAATGTGTATTTATAGAGAGGGCTACAAAATGGTTCATGGCATTGGTCAAGCAATCTGAGGCTGAATGTGTGGTCGAAAAGAAATTTCAATGGAAAAATCTTTAAAAGACATGGTTTGAGGAATCACATATTCACGTGGTCATGCCTTTCGACAAGTTTTGTACCCAAGTTCATTCTGTTGCAAAATCTACCATAGCTGAGCATTCAATCTAACCAACAAAGCTGGCCAATTTGAAATACTATTTATCACATGACAATAACTTTAACTTGGCAGATCATATGGATGGAATGCTACGCAGTCGAGCGGTGGCCAGAAAATGATTCGATATGCAGAGACCTACATGTTTGCTGATAATTACAATCAAAGACTAATAATATACATCAAAACTGCTTTCAATATTCGCTCTCTGTCGGTTTTGAACAGAGCGCCCACAACAAATGAGGACTGCCTCAGTTTTTTTAAGAAATAATTGGTTGAACACAATTTCGCAAATCTCTTTCCGTATTGAACACAAATCAAAGCTGACTAAAGTCTTCACATCACTACACTAATTCGCAATGGGACAAATACTTTGAAATCTTGTGATTTTGATCAATCAAGTTGCATCATTCCGTTATTAAAAGAGACGATTTTGATATAGGAACTGAATCCAAGAGGAGAAAAAATGAAGCAACAGTTACATTTCACGTTCATACCAGCATTTTTACATTATAGATGAGGACTGGTAGTGTTACAACTTACACGCAGAAACACAAATTTGAGACTTTTCTCATCACTTCAACACGACAGAACAAGACACGAAGACTTATTAAACTTGAATACCAATAAGCAAGTTCCAATGTTTACAACAAAACCTACAAACAGCGATCACTTAACCAGAATTATCAATGGCTTTGACGTCAGGCAACCGGAATCGCCTCATAAACTTCCCACTGCTATGTTCAACCCTTTACCAAGTATCATTCTTGTCCTCCTTCTCAACCTTCCTCTCTCCACTGATTTGAAGCACCCTATCATCTTCAATCTCTACTTTCACTTCTTCTTTCTTAAGCCCGGGAAAAACAGCCTTGAAGACGTGAGCCTCCGGGGTCTCCTTCCAGTCGATTTGGGCTTTGACAACAGGTTTGCAGGACGAGTGAAGAAGGGAAAGGGAAGTCATCGAATGGACCCCAAACATCAAGATCGAAGATGCTGCTGCTTCTTCGGTTGCCGAAGAAACTCGGGATCATCGCCATTTCTCTCAGAGCACAGAACAGAGAATTAAAGTGTTACAATTAGTACTGACTATTACAGAGTATGTGAAGCTGCTTTCCTGATCACAGGAAGATAGGACACGTTGGGAATTTATAAGAAGCGTAGGAGAAATCTTGTATTTTCTGGAACTTTGCGTCGAGTTGGAGAAAGTCTGAGAATGGATTTGTTTATTATTGATAAATTTGGACCTATTCATAGTTTCAGTTCAATAATTTACAGGCCAGCTTTAAGAAATATACACAAGCCAAATTCAAGAACTTTTGCTGCTAAATGCCTAATTCATACAATTAAAAGAGACTGTAAAAAGAGAAGAAAAAAAAACATCTAAGATAAGTTCTAGGCATAAAATCTGAAACGTTTTTCTTACAGACCAATCAATTACTATAAATTTGAATGAAATATGTTACGTGCATTAAAGGGTTGAATTAAATTTTCAATTTAATGGCAGTTCTCGCCTCGAAACATAAGCTTAAGGGTTGTCTAAAGCAATTTCTCATCTTATGCATTCCTCCCAAGATGTCTATGACAGCAAAAGAAACAGATAGAAACTGCAATATTCCTAAAATGAGGTACCTTTATTTGGACCTCATATTCCGAAATCCAAGAAGAAGAAAAAGTCGAATTTTCATGTAAACATATCTCGTTCATACATGAAACCATTTTTAATCAGGAGTAAGAGATTATAGATTAAGTGATAAATGATGGCATAAAAGACTTCAGACCATGGAAAACAGATTATGGCTGAAATCATCCACACATCAGAAACGAAATTCATGACAAAGAAAAAGTTTCTCTGAAAGAAATTCTGCATTTATATATTGTTTACAAAATTTTATCTAGTTGACAAGGGAATGGGATTGCAGAAAACAATCCACCTTACACGCTTGCTTCCTAAAACTAAAATTTGGGAGGTTGTCAATTGAGTTAAATATCAGTCAATCTCTTGGTTAGTCAAGTCGCACATCATTTCATCTCATGAGCTTTGCAGATTGCGAGTGAGATCGACAAAAGTTTCTTCACTACAAGGGATTGTCGGGGCACCCATAGGGTGATCAAATCCAAACTCTTCTTCAGCTTCACTCAACAAAGTCTGGAATGAAGGATGCTTCAGCAATGATATGGGATTACAAATCTCTTCTTTTCAGCTTCTCCAACGTATACAGCAAAGTGGCCTCTGGGAACCACTGTGGTCTTCCGAAGATGATAGAGTCCGTTTCAGACTTGGCTTAGCATTAACAATTCTTGGCAAGCGGAAACCCATGGTTTCTGTGGAGATTGTTAGGATGAGGAAATGTGAGTGTGGAATTGGAATTTAGAAAGAAGCTAGGAAAGGCTTTGGCACTTGGTGGAGCTATCCATTAGAATCTGTATTTATAAAGAGCAAATATTGTACATGGTCAGCAATCTCAGGCTAGTTGAGTGGTGAAGAGAAATTGCTTGGGAGATATCTATTGGGAGGAATCACATGGCCTTGCATCCCAACAAATAATAGCATTTTGACAAGTTCAAGCCTGTATGACACACTTCAGGTGCTCTTCACAAGGGCTTGCCCTATGTAATACTGCAACCAAGGAATACAAGCCAGTGTTTGGTTCTTGGACATGTCCTTTATGACATCCAATTAGTCTAAAATCCCTTCCAACATTGCTTGTTTATATATTTCATTCATGTCTGAAGCATGTTGTAGCTAATATCATAAAGTTTCATATGCCTAAAATATTGAGCGCCTACCTGCCCGTTTCCAATCTTTAGCCTGTTCTCTATTGGCCTCTTTTTTGTTCCATTTTAAGTTGTAGGCCAGGCCAGAGTTATAAACTAAGAAGACTGCATGTGGTAAAGCAGGAGCCTGACCCCCCATTGTCCACCAAAGTTCAAGCTAAAGATCAAAGGGTCCTCTGTTATAGCAGCCTCAGGCTCTCAACCATGTTGGTCCATCATTTAAGCATCTGCATCCGTATCTAACTCTCATTTTTCATTTCTTCTGTCTACATCAAACACTCCAGTCTTTTGCTGGCCTTGGTTGGTCTTCTTTCAAAACTTTAGGGCACATTGTTTGTCCACATATAGACCATAGTATGATTTCAGCCCTTTATCTCGTAGAAGATCATAGAGACAAGACCATGTGAGACCTCTTAAGCATTATCTTAATGAAATCCGAACACAGACACTCATTTCCATGTTTTAGATGAATTTTTTTTTGTTTATCATTCTTCTATATATAGCAGCATATTTTGATCACAAATGAAAAGCCAACTCAACCCTTCACAGTGCAACCCTTCAAAAGCCTCCAAATAGAATAAATACTTTGAAATCTTGTGTTTCGATCAACAGAAAAGATATGGCAATTCGCCTGCCTGGTCTTGTTGACGCTAAGCATGTTTTCAGCAGCTCCGCTCTGAAAAAAAAAAGAAAACTTTGACATCTTAAGATTTACCAGAAGCCACCAGTAACAGCCTTGTAGACCATTTCACCTCATTCGTTTCTCAACTCCCTCAATCTTTCATCATCTTCATCAATTATCAACTGATCACACAAAAAGAAGTAAACCACACGGTTAATAATGAGTTCTGCTCACATAAAAAGTTGCCTAAGAATGTTCTATAACACAATCAAATCAAACCAGACCTCAAATGATCATTCCATAATTTTCTATCAATATTTCATTAGATGTTGAAACTTCAACTGCTTTAGATATGATGTTTGAGTGCACTATGTAAAGATAATTTACTCGTGGATTCTTAATATGTTATTGCCACAACGAGCTTAATCCCAAAGATTTGAAATGCAAGTCATCACCAGCAAGTTTCTCCTTGCACTCATGGTAACAATAGAAAGTAGAAGCCATTCAATCAATCACTAATTTGATATTCCAAGGTATACTTTGGAAAAACTAAGGATGAAAGATTGCAACTGATGAACATTTTTCCATCAACTTGCAACACAAAGCTACTCATGTTGTATTTGTATCATGAGGATAAACCTTTGTGTATCTTGAGTAATCATATGCAAAGGTCATATAATAGTGTTTTCCTTATTTACTTTCAGTGTTTATAAATAATGCTAGATCAGTATGAACAAGTTCTAACAATTCAGTTTTTCCCTTAGAAACAGTGTTAAAGTGAGGTTTAGCATGCTTGGCTTCTACATAAATTTCACATTTGTTAAAGCTAGTTAAGTCTAGTTTAGGCAGGACATTCATGTTCATTAATTTCTTTAAAGCATGAATGTTAACGTGTTCTAATCTAACATGCCACATATCAACAGATTCAATCATATAAGTAGAAGCGATAGTTTTATTTTCATTAAGTTGAGTTTCTATGACAAATAAACCCCCGTTCAGAAAACCTTTTCCCACATAATCACCATTACGGTAGAGTACAAGTTTATCTGCCTCAAAAACTAACTTAATGTTTTCCTTATTCAAAAGTATGCCACTTATTAAATTTTCATGCAAGGCATGTACATACAGGACATTGTTAAGCGCTAAAGTTTTATCGAATGTCAGCTTAAGTAAACTTTTCTTTTGCCTAACACTTCAGAGCAGCTAGAGTTCCCCATATACACATGTTCACCATCGTTCCCATCCTCGAACTTAGTGAAGAACTTTTTCCTTGCGCAGAAATGTCAGATGCAGCAGTGTCCACGACCCATTCAGAAATGTTGTCCACCAGATTGACTTCGGAAACCACCGCGGCTATGACATCTCCAGAATTATCCT